CCTCTCTCTCTCTCTCTCTCTCTCTCTCTCTCTCTCTCTCTCTCTCTCTCTCTCTCTCTCTCTCTCTCTCTCTCTCTCTCCCCTCGTCATGGTCTTTGTCGTCCTCCTCCCTACTCCTCGGCGGCTTGCTCTCCCTCCCCGCTCGCCCACACCACGTGGCGTTTCGAATCTTTGCCATCAACGTCCTATGCCTCCTCCTCCACATCATTGTGATCCCCTGCCTCCCCCCCTTCCACGTCTTCGTCCTCCTCCCCCTCCTCCTCGACGTCGCTGTCCTCCTCCCCCTCCTCCTCGTCCGTTCGTTGTCCTCCTCATCGACTTGCTTTCGCTCACACCCCCCCACCATCGACTTGCTTTCAGCGGAACATCAACGTGCTTTCCCGAACTTCTACCTTCTCATCCTCTTCATTATCACCTTCGGGCTACTTTCATGTCGTCATCGTCCTCCACCTCGTGCTCCTCCTCCACGTCTTCGTCCTTCTCCCTCCCCTCCTCGTCCTCCTCTTGGTCGTCATCATCGACTTCCCATAACCTCCCTCCCCCCCTGCTCATGCCACGTGACACCGTTTTTCCATTCTTTTTTCCCGCCTTCTGTAGGACCTTTGTCAATTCCTTGAAACTTTCTCCTCCTCGTCCTGGTCATCGTCATGGACTTGCTTCATCCTCCCCTCCCCCCCTCCTCCCCTCCTTCCCCACCTGTGCAACGTGGCAATCTTTTTCCATTCTTTTTTCTTTTTCCCCATATTCCTTAATATCTTTCCTGTCCTGTTCATCGCCCCCTTATCCTCCTCATCGCGCCGTTTTTCCATTCCTTCCCCCCCCCCGGTCTTCTTTAGGATCTTTGTCGTCATTTTCCTCGGAACTTTCTCCTCCTCCTCCTCGTCTTGGTCCTCATCATGGACTTCCTTCGTCCTCCTCTATTCTCCTCCCCCACCTGTGCCACGTAGCAATCTTTTTCCATAATTTCCCTTCTTCCTCGTTTTCTTCGGATCTTTCTCGTCGCGTTCGTCGCGCTCTTATCCTCCTCCTCCTCATGATCATCACTGTCTCGGTCATCCTCCGCATCTTCGTCCTCCTCTTTTTTTTTCGGTTCTTGTTTCACAAAGAAACGTTGATGGCCTTGAGATATTCTTGACTGTCTCCGCCGTCCTCATAGCCTTGCTCCTGCTCTGTCTCCTCATTTTACTCGCCCCCTACCTCATCAACTTCCTCCTTCCACCCCTTCCCCCAGATGGTGCACTCTCTTTCGTCCATCCTCCTTTCCGCATTTTAGTCTAGATCATGTGATTCGAAGTTCGCTTATGGTTCCTGTCGAAGTGTCGTCTCCATGAGGGGTGGGGAAGTGCCGCTGACTCGCTGAGTGCAGCCACAGTTGGTTCACGTTGCATTTGGAATTTTTGGGTCTAGTTTCAGCCCCATGGGGTGTACGGACGTGCTGTGCATTTTGGCTGACGTTTCAACGGTTCTCTAGTGATTCATTTCGACCCCATGCGGGTGGGGAAATGCTGTCAAATATTTGATTGATTGACTGATTGATTGATTGATTGATTGATTGATTGATTGATTGATTGATTGATTGATTGAGCTTCATTGAGTGTGTGTGTGTGCGAGAGAGAGAATGAGAGATCGACTCAGATGTGGTTGGATCTGAGATCTCGTAGTCCTTGTTGTTTGGTTGCGTGGTCTTGATTGTCTGCAGGACGCCTAAAAGAGTTGCAGGTGCCATTTACCAGCACTGCAGCTCGAAGTTGTGGGGCTACGAACAAGTGCAGCTACAGATGGAAATGTGCCTTTTCGTTGTTTTCAATCTATTTGTGCAGCACTTCGTATATCTGCACTCTTTTTTTTTTTTTTAATAAATTAAATCCGGACATATAGGCTCGTCCATACAAGGATCCGGACATGCGGATCCGGACATGTCCGGAATCTCCGGAAAATCCCAGAAAACTGGACATTCGGATCGAACCGAGAAATCCGGTGTCCGGTTTCCGGACTTGTCCGGTTTACTTGTCCGCCGCTGCCATGGTATACAGTAGACCTAGGAGGATCGTAAAAGTTGGTAATTCATAATTCTTTAGGTCCGCAACTCCTTTTTTGGTGCTTAAACTTTAATTTTTCGAAGGTAATGTGCTTAGGAAGGGGACGCTAGACCCGGTTTCCAGCAGTTTCGGTTCTTCTGGTTGGTATATACAAGTATACTCAGGAACAGCTGGGTGGGGAGTAGGTAAGGGATGCTGGACCCGTTTTCCAGCTGGTTCTTTCCTCTCCGGGTTGAATTGTGAGGTCCCCGGCCTCCTTCCTATTTTTTGAAATGAAAT